ACCCAGGGTGACGAATAGTCATATATATATATATATATATAGGTAAACACAGACTAAAATAAGGGCTCCTAGACCAATACTAATACTTCCTAACACCCCCCCTCAAATGCAGTATGCAATAGCATTACATTTGAAGAAGTGTAATACTAGAAAAAGATGATAATCCAAATCCACGCCTTGAGAGTGTCGTCATAGAAGAGTCTTCAAAACCTGTCGAGTCGCCAAAGGGGATAACGAAGAGATGGCACATCAGAGGAAGACACCGCATCAATAGAAGATACAAGAGAAGATGGGTTGTCAAAAGAAGATGACACATCAAGAGAATGAAACATTGCTTAAAGAATCATGGCCCATGAAAACCGACGGCGAAAGAAGCTCCAAGAGAATGGGCTTAGATCAACAATGCAAAGAGAGGCCATAGAAATCCTACAGAGAGGACAATGTCCAGAAAAAGGCTCGCGGACAAAAGTTTGGCAGGCTCGCATGACATGAAAAACACAAAATATCAACGGATTTGGTAGATGCAGCGGAAAATATAGAGCAAGAAGTTAGGAAGCACACACGAGACAAAGATGCAAAAGCCATCATGTATGCAGAAGACATTGGACGTTTTTTTAGAAGGAACAAACTAGGAGGGTTGTAGGACGCATCAGCAAAACACACCAAAAACTAGACTGAGCGCCGCATGCTCTAGCCAATGCAACCAAAATCTGATGAAGAGACTAGGCAATACATTTATACGTCAACACACCCCTCACGTGTGGCTCCCCCGGACCTTAACATGGACAGAAAGTGGGCTGCAATTTAATTGCACCAGCCGGGTCTTGAACTTAAGACCTCTTAACTCTGATACCATGTTAGGAAAATAACTTATCTCTATTGAAGGTCCAAGGGGCAAGAAAAGTAAACATAAACTAATAAGGGTTCCTAGACCAATACTAATACTTCCTAACAAGTACTACTTGTGCAAGTTTACGTGTGTGTGTGAGAGAGTGGGTACTACTAGTTTGGGCACCCCTACCACTAGGAAAATACCGTTAGCACTCCAAATTAGGACTCCTACCACATATAAGGTAGAGCCCCTACCACCCATTATACACACCTACCACAATAGTTTGGGCTAACAATTTGGCATTAAAGCCTCGTTCCGATAGCCATGGCCGGTGTAGAAGGAAAGTGTTGGGACAAACCCTCCGGCAACAAACGCCGAGTAGCCCTCCGGCGAGCAGCGCCAGACAGAGGTAGAAGAAGATGAACCAAACACACTTGGTTATGGCGACGAACGCCCCGGCCGACGAACGGCCTGTATGTTGGCCTCTATTCAACTCAACTCCCTCAAACACATACATAGAGGTACACACGCACACACGCAGCACAACCCGGAAGAATTCTCACGTCGACCGGGCACACACCACGGTTCCGGCGGAGACTACATCTTCTTTAGGCCCCTCTCACTTGGCTCGGCACATATCGGAACACTTTACACCAGTACACAGTGGGGTTTTTATACCAGGCTCACACACACAGCACCGGCCGCTCCACTCGGCCACGCACGCACGTAGCCATGCAACCTTATCCTAACTAACCCGCACATGCACTAACCAATCTCTACCTACATGTACACTACGCTCGGCACTAGCACAACAGTAGCATCCGATGCATACGCACTCGACTTGGCTAGCTAGCTCAACACATGCACGCATTCTACGGATCCGCTGCACGAGCGCATGC